CCCCGTCCCGAGAAGAAGGGGAGAGGAAAGTTTACTGCCTGTAAATCAGAGGCTTTCACTTCCCAGACGCCGAGGCCTTCCTGTCCCGCTGATCTCCGCCCGATATGCTCGGAGATCGCGCTGTCAAGGGGAAGACGCTGCCTTTTGATTTCAGCTCGAAAACTCACCTTACGGTAATTCTATTAAAATGATTCCTCATTTTAATAGAATTACTTTAAGGTGAGTTGTCAACGCATAACTAAAATGTTACGTTCTTCTCATTTGCTCTTCTTCTAAAGAAAGGTGGCTGCAGCAAGCAAGTGATGTTCATTTGTAGTTCCTAAAGTGCTGCCCTGGCTCTTTCAGCATGTTTCATCACTCTGCGCTTTAGTTAATGAATTAATGACCCCCCAAAAAGCACAACTATTTTTCAACAAATCATCACAAAAATGGACAGAAAAATTGGGGCTTTGAATTTCAGAAAAATCTGTGTTGAGACACAGATATCACGTAAAGGCAGCCAAGACCTTGACCAGTTAAATCAATGCTTTTTATCACGGAAAATAGTCTGTTGCCTGTTTTCTTTATATCAAGAAGAAGAAAAAAAATAATGGTTGAAAAAATAATTATAGCCAGAGGAACCACCAAACCTTGAAAGCTTATTTAATGACACTACAATTACATCATTCATGAATAATCCATTTCCTAAGAGTATTGGGGACTTTATCATCACTACAATTGTGAGTAATGAAGTGTGCACCGTATGATAAGAGTACACAAAAATCCCAGTTTGAAACAAGTGTTATTGTGGCCCTGTACGGGTGTGTGAGCCCATTGTGACCTTTTTGTTTGGCGACTTCCTGAGAAGACAAGCAGTGAGAATGTGTTGGTTTGGAGGTAACAGCAGCTGTGTGCTACGTGCCTCTGATCCAGGCAGCTATTGACTTCCTGAGATTTGAATTAATTACTTGCTTCACAAGAGAAACTGGATTGCAGTGGAACCCCCTAAGAAGTCCACTCATTCTTCAGAAACTGCCCCATGGACTTGCAGATGGTTTCACTGAGATGTGCTTTCCCATAGAGAACAATTATACAGGGGATTGTGGTGCTGGCATAAACCTGGAGCACACAGTCTCCATTCTGAACATTTCAAAACAGCCATAGGGGAGGTTTGTGACTTAACATAAATTAGACCACCAGGGAATGGGGAGATGTGAAGTGGCGGAAGGGCAATATTACAGATAAATGCATTGCGCCACTCCGAGAGCCACACCGCCGAAGAAACAGAAAACGACACTGTGACACATCGGAATCAGATAACAACAACATGAAATTGCCCTTTAATGTTTGACAAATGTTTGACAAATGTGAGCGTGCGTAACTCCATGCAATGCTGGTTTAGTCAATCCCTCCTCTGTGTGTTTTCGGTCCAAGAAAGGAAACAATGATGGGAGCAATTAATGACATGGAGGAAAAAAAGAAAACAATTACAGCTGATACTTTTGGGGCCTGTGTTTTAGGGTGAAAGGGATTAAGTTGCTGCCGCGTTTGTGTTCTGCTCGCTTTGAATTGGCTCAAGGCCTTGTGTTTGGTCTTGTTAGTGCCAGCGGCTCCAGTGAAGAGTACACTTCAGCTGTGATGAAGGATGCAGGAACGCAGAGGCTACCAGTGGCTGCTAATTAACCTCTCATTGTGTTCGCTAACAAAGAAACAAAGGAACAAAGTGGAATTTCAATGCAGGAGATTATCACAATCACAAAGAGCGTAGTGCTGGATCATGCACTTGATAGGGATCTTCACACCGGCCACGACAACATGAGATTAGATCAAAGACAGATGAAGTAAAATTTAACAAAACAATGCAGTCTTCTTATGCAATAACCAGCCACGTGGGCCTTCGCTAGGTGTGGGAGAGTACAACTGCGCAGCTACGCCAGAACGATACGTCTTCCTCTCCAACTTCTGCAAGATTGTATTCGATTGTGAGAACTTTACTGCGGCTTTGTTCCGTACGAGAGGAGGTGTAGCATCCTTCCTCAAACACATCAAGACAAAGAGGAAACGGGCTGTGTGTTCTTCGCTGGTTATTGTGGCCCCGGCTTCTGTCCCAACTGTCTGAATGGCAATTACTGCTGACTTCCTACCCAGTGCAGAGCCCGGGCCTGCTGAGGGTGTCCTGAACCCTGCAGTGTCCAGAGGGGAGAGACAGGAGCTGTCAAATCTCACACCTCTGCCCTGCTGCTGTGGGGAGCGCTCCTCCAGCTGCTGTCCCCACGGGGCTCGCTGTACACTCTCGCTAATCAGCCCCATCTCATCTCTGGGAGGAACTAGCCCCAAGTGGATGAAGGCCTCTTTCTCACCTCTGCTACCACAGCGCACCTTTGAAGTCCTGTGCAAGTGTTAGTTTTATGGCTGGAGATGGTACGATAAGATCCCACGGAAAGGTGATAAATTAGCTTTTCGTCACACATTTAAAAAGGGGAAATAGCAGGCTGCTAAAAGTCCACAGACTCTGTTACAGTTTTAACACCTAACAGTTAAAGCACTTGAGAAGCAACAACAGTGTAGCGTCAAACCTGTTAAGTACCTTAATTAAAGCAGCGTGTTTGTATTTAGCTTGCTTCCCACACTGAGGTTCTGCATTAACAAGCATTTGGCCAAGCCGTAGCTGTGGGGCTCTTATGAATTGAATGTAATACTTTGACAGGACAAGCTGGGACAGAGCAGCACTTTCGCTCTGAGAACACACCCTTCACAGGCATGCCGAATGAATCTCTGCAGGGCAGATTTATCAGGAATAAGCATGATAGAATTCAACATTATCAACCTCTTGGGTACCGCGAGAAAGAAAGCCACACTGACTTTCAACCCTACTTTAATGATGACATGAGGAAGACGTGCGAGTCCGATCTCAGATGTAATGGCCGGAGGTGGACGAGCTTGGAGCCTGAAGTTTGATCAATGACTTTCTGTTGGTTGTCAGTCTCACCTCGTCTCAACCCGTCCAACACAGACATTCAGGAGATAATAACCAGAGATCCATCTATATACATTAGAAACAGCTATGTTTACCTAAATATATGTAACCTGTCAAGTCATGTTATTAGTGAAGTGAAGTGAAGTCATTATATTTATACAGCTGAAAATCACAAATGTACCTCAAAGGGTTTTAAAATGTATTCTCAAGAACATCCGAGGACTGATGGAAAAAAGGAATTTTACAATTCCTTGCAGTATCTATTTATACATCTATATATCCACATATATATCAATCTCTATATATACATATGTATACATATTTATTTTTTCAGCTTTATTTTTCTGCTGAGGAACTCTTTCATTTGCACATCACAACCTGCAGCAACAATGTGAATCCTTATCTTGAATAACAATCATCACCCCATTTCCTGGAACCAGTAGGTCTTCTTTACGACATCCACTTCCACCAGATAACTTAAATTTCAGTATGCGGCTCAAAGGTACATTTAAATAACATTAAAAAAAACATTAAAAAAAATATAGATTCCTCCTTTTCTGATGGGCAGGAGCATGAACTGAGAGCCTTAAGCTTTATGACAAAAAAAGAGTTTCATCACAGTTTATAAAACACATCTTTAGCTCCCAGCTCTGTCTGCTGCGGCTCGGTGGAATTTTGCCGCCGCCACCCGCTGCCATAATTTGTTTCACAGTCACCACCCAGCAGCATGAATCAGATGTTGACACTCTAATTTCATGCACACATGGGTGTTTGGCTGGGCCTGCCCCGAATGCTGCTGCATCCCTCTCTCCCTCCAGCTGCCCACTATACCTGCCCTTTGCCCTCGGACACAGCCATGTAACCTAGTTAACCTGGGGGTCACCCATTATGACGGATGATTTAAGCATAGTCTCATAATGATGACGTGCCCCGTGTGGATTTGACTTGTGGCACATCATCGCCACACTGCTCTTTTTGTGGTATCAAAACAGATGGATGACCTGTGACAAAACCGTATTACAAATGTTAAAATTTACTACTATGATTTTATTGTGTATGATTTGTATGAACAGGTTTAAAGGAATGATGGCATCTCAGAAAATAAATATGTTTACCCAGCAGCGCGTCTCCAACCTGTCAGGAGAGCACCACGCTGGTCTATTTACCACTAAAATAAATCAGTTTACAGGGTCCACAGCTCCATCTGGAAATATTTGTTTTTAATTTGTGGTTTTTGCGTAGAAAAAAAACTATGTACTTGCAGGAAATTATGAAATATAGCCACTAGCCATGTTTCAAAATGTCAAAAGGCTTGTCAAGGATTGACACGTTTGTGGAGCATAATTAATGCAAGTTTTGTCCATCACTGATTATTTTGCTTCTTCTAAAAGTCAGAGATGACAGTCTGTCTGCTGTGGGAGAAAAGAGAAGCTAGAGTGTTTGTCCACGTCCTCATTCTGTCAGCTCAAAAAGCCGGCAAAAAATATTTTTCATATTGACCAGCGGATTCACCGTATAAACATAGACGCTGAACAGAAAGAAAAAGTGACGGCTTCTCCCAACATCTCTCCTTCACGACGAGCCTGACAGCTCCTCTCATGAGTGAGCATAAATCCACAAGATAAACTCATAAACAAATAAGTTGTTTGTGTGCCGTGGAAGCCAGATAATGGCCGGGGTTTTATGAAACACTTGCTTCCTCTTGACAAATATCCAAACAATAAACACATAGTAAATAACAGCACCCTGTCCGTATCAGCTCCCTACTTGAGGTTAAGTTGAGTTTATTGCGGAGGCCACTGCCTGCATGCATTAAGCAAATCATAAATTATACATGCTAATTACCTTGGGCCTCCACTTTAATGAATTATTTTAATTAAACTACAACATTGGGGCTTTACATGTGGTCTATATTTCATTCCCTGCCTAAGATGACCTTCTTCTTTGTCTAAGTGTAACATAGTCGAGAGAACAAGGACAAGCAGACTTGGTTTATGAAACTGAGTTCAGATGATGTTACTGAAATTATGAAAAACATCATTGCTGAATTGGCAAGAACCAGTTTTATTATAAGGAATGAATGAAATGATAGGAGGTAAACTGGAACATTAGCAGATGAAAAAAATACATACATAACAACAGTTCTCAATTTATGTTTTCATTCAGAAAAAAAATGCGGATTTCCAAATTGGGTGTCAGATGGGATTCCAATGTTGTCAAATATATTTCTTCCCTCTTCCACCTGTAACCTTCGGTTCCATGCTCATTTGAACATGTTGTGCTGGACAAGCTGAAGGTTTTTGTTTATTTGCGAACTCACTGACAACCAGAAAAACCTCTTTTCTGGAATTACTTCATTCCGTTTATGTGCAATATTTCAGTCACTTTCATGAAACATCCGCTCGACGCATTGCATCTTAAAATATAATCAAAGGAGGCAAGGATGTTGCAGTTCTAAAGTTGCATTTCTTCAAAATAGAACATAACACATCAAATGAACACTTTTAGTTACTTTTTAATTCTGGGACGTTTTTTTTAATGAATGAGTTCTTCTTCACAAAAGTTTTTTTCCAGAAATTAATTTATATATATATGTTACATTCATATTTTAATTATAACAGACAAAGTACACTGAAATCCATCCTGGTGGATACGTTTAAATGTGTAGTAAATATATAGTGTTGTTACATATTTCTTTGTGGCTGGACTCATTGCTTTAATGTGCTTAGTGAAAAAAAGTTCCATACGGCACGTTGATGTGGTTTAAATGAAATTGTAATGACCAGCCAGAAAAATGTAATCTGATTCCAAATTAAAGCTTGTAATCTGCCGTTGCAGTGTCAATACATTAAATCATCCAGAGTCAGAATGAATGTTACACACACAAATGCACAAAGTGAGGAGAAGAAGAAAAAACTAACACTGTTGTCCAAACAGTCCATGGGGGAGGGGTGGATTTAAATTCCAAAAGGGTCTTGCAGCTCGTTTCCTAGTTCCCCAGTCAGCAATGTGTTTGTGAAAAATCAGTCTTTTTGTCTTCCTGAAAAAAGGCTAAATCTACATTGGTGGCCCAGTCTAAGTTTGCTTTTCTTTGCACTTTCAATTCAAGTGAATGAGGGAGAATGAAGTGGCCCGAGACCCTTTATTTGATCTACTCGATTGTATAAAGTGACGGAATTCAAATGTATTTGTTTAATACCCCCAAAAGACTGCTGCTTTTCTACAAGGGAGGCAGCTAAAGCGCTTTTTATCGTGAAAATAAATAGTCGAATAGAATGAAAAATATGTATAGATATACTTTGTAGATGTATCTCCATCTGTATTTAGAAACTTGTTGAATTAAGTCGTCTTCAACATTAAAGCATTCGATAAGCGCGAAACATTTGAGAAAAAAAAAATCTGCTTGACACGTTTAACTGCGCTCGATGACTTTTGAAGGACAACGTAAAGAGCCTAAATTTGGACACTATGCGGCTTTTCCAAATGTTTATTGTTGGGCTTAATTGTGTTTAGCCCACAGCGTGATGAATGAGCCCAATTGTCTGCGCTGTGACCATGCATCGCAACTCCATGCATCCTAATCGACTGCACATTCATTTCTCTCCCCACTGCTTCTCTTCCACACTGAAATCAAATCCTGGTACACGAGATCAGCGGTATAATTGTTATTATTACTATCAATGAAACTTTTATTCTTATTATTTTATTTTTGGTAGGAAATTAATGTATGATTTTCCGGAAAAAAAAGTTTCATATATTTTAATAAATGTAATAGCAATAACAATACTCAAATTAAAAGTTTTCTTAGATTAAATCTTCAGAAACATTTTTGATTGTTTACTTCACTTTTAATGAGAAAATATTTTGATGACCACTTTTTCCAACTCATTGCAGACTGTTTGCACACTTTTCGAAAGCACGCATGCTTGCAAAAAAATATCAAACATAAACAAAACAACAACAATAACAACAACAGTACCAACACAATTTTTTTTGAATGCATGCTTTTACCTAAAAAACAGTACAAATTTACAGCATCTGATACACATGGTCACCACAGCCTTTTAAATTAAATGCTTCACAGAACTTTTTCTGGAAAATAGATATCTAAAACATAAAACTAAAAAGTGCATTTTACAACATTTCAGTATCAGTTATTTGCAATATTCACACCTTGCATCGTGAGGACGTCTCATACCACTTTTCCAGTTTGAAAAGATATGATAACTCATTTTGCTTTCTTTTTTTACGGAGATGGTAGGAACACATCTAAATCCTATTCCTATTTGGTATACCCTTATCCATCATTGCAGTAATTAAAAGCAAACGAAAACACGGCCATTGCCTCGCAATTTCATTGACATTACAGCGGTCACACAGAAACGGTGCAAACATTTTGCTATTTGATACAACTGAAAAACTGCCACGGAAATTGCAAGCACTTCAAATCAGAGCCGGTGGTGCCAAAACAAACGACCCCCAGCTGGCACACCACGTCCGCCGCTCACGTTTCCGAACAAACTGAAAAATAGAACTATCAAATAATTTATATTTTCAAGAGCAATACTCTCTGTGCTGGACTTCTATGACACGATTTAAAGCGACACATTCGACACGTACACAATTAATTCAGATATGCAACTGCAACTCGCCTTGATAGTTTCCGACGACAGAAAATATAAACTTTGGGATTGATAAAAGGTGCCCTGGGAGCCGGCCAGCACTTCGTTTGCACGAGAAAAGTTCGGCCGGTCAGTGCACAGCCACGGACTGCAAGGTGGAGGGGCTGGTCAGAGTCTCGCTGGGGGTCGCCGGGCTGCTTTGGCTCGTCGCTGTCTGCGGGGACGTCGGGCTCAGCGACTGAGGAGAGTTCGACAGAAACGCGGGAATGTGTGGCGGCAACGCCGAGAACCCCGCCATGGAGGTCGGCGTCGGCTTGATCGGCACGGGAATGGCCGGTAACGACTGTCCCCCGTGACACAGGGACTTGAGCGGCATGCCGTACGCGCCGTAGTCGCCGCTCGCCATGGAGATGGGGGCCGTCGTGTCGATCATGCCGGTGTTGTACATGTGGGGCCAGGCCGTCGTCAGCTGGTTGTGCAGCGGGTAGCCGGCGGACATGGACTGCATGGTGGAGAACGCCAGGCTGCCCGGCACCTTGTACTCTCTGGCGATGATGTTCTCGATGGCGAACGGGTGCTTGAAGGTTGAGGACTGGGACACTCCGAGGTTGTAAGATGACATCTGGGGCAGGTGTGTGCCGCTGGCCGCCAAGGCGCTCAGCCTCAGTTTGGCCTGCTGCTGCAGGTAATGGGCGGCGTCCGACTGCTTGCTGGGGGCCAAGTGATCGGTCGAAGTCAACAGTTTGAACCTCTTGCGTCGTCTCAAGAAACTGCCGTTCTCGAACATGTCCCCGCAGCTGGGGTGCAGAGCCCAGAAGCTGCCTTTGCCCGGCTGATCCGGGCGCCGGGGGATTTTGATGAAGCAGTCGTTGAAGGACAGGTTGTGTCGCAGCGAGTTTTGCCACCGCTGAGTGTTTTCTCTATAATACGGGAATCTATCCATGATGAACTTGTAGATTTCACTGAGAGGCAGCATCTTCTCTGGGCAGCTCTGGATCGCCATGGCAGTGAGGGAGATGTAGGAGTAAGGCGGCTTCTGGTCGCTGTACGTGTTTCTCCCTGGGCGAGGCATCCTGGATATCTTCAGGAAAAGCAATTTAAAAAACGAAAAAACTAAACAAAAATATAGTCTCCCTTAATTCCTTGACGAAAGCTTGCCGCTCTTCATGAAGAAAAAAAAACACAACAGCCAGCGAGGAAAGTTTCAATATCGACACTGCTGGAGTTGTGCGCTAAACAGCCGGATCGAGCGCCCGTGCGGTGTGCAGTCTGCACATTTATGGAGTGACGGCTGCTGTGAGTCTCTCTGCCAAAGTAAGTCAGATCGTCCCGCTAGCGGAGCTGTGAATAGATTTCATTTGGCGTCCTCGATAAGACGAGCTAAGTGGATGCCTCCATGGCCTTCCTCTAACCATCTGATAGTTTTATGTAGTGACATGAGCAGAAAAGACCCCTGTAGAGGCGCTCCATTAATGTGCCACCTCTTTGCTATCACATGACAATTGCCATGGGAGGAGGGGGAGAGGGGAGGGGGGGGGGGGGGGATCGGGAGGAAGCCATAATCTGGTTTCATTTACACCTATTTACATGGACACCTTGGGCCAATGGAAATCATTTCCATTTGAAGACAGAAAAAGGGGTGAAAAGGCTCGGCGACCGGAATTGAACTGCGAGAATGAAACTCGGTGTGTGAAGGTATGCGCTAATATTTCTTCAGCGGACTGTACACGTACACTCAGGGTAGATATTTGGAATTTCAACGGAAACGGTATATTGTCATTTATTTCTATTTCGTAATGAAAATGACTTTTAAACGTGTGCGTTGCTGTTGGGGCAGATGCGCATTTTATCTGGAGGTGGATTAATTAAAATGAGTACCGTTTGTGCAGTGGCGTGTAACAAGGGACGCTGATAACCTTTTTATTATGATGTGGGTTTTTAAAGAAAACTTACTTTACACATAAAACGTTGCAAAGAAAAATACATTGGGCTTCCTCCTAATTAAAGACTAATATTGTTTACGAACTGCCACACAAAATAATTCGCCATGAGCAAGTTTGTTGATGAGCCGACTATTAGTTTTTCTCAGCTAATTTCGCCCGGAGCTGCGCAGAGGAAGCAGACGATATGAAAACATCAACACAATGCAAACAACGTTGTTCAAACTGAAACTTCATGAGGCAGTCAAGTCCATTGTGTTTATGTAAAGAAGATTCAAAAAGTACTTCAGAAATGCAAATAAACCCTTCAGGATGGTGTGGTGAAAACTGTATAAAATATCCATAAGTCAATTATATGAATGTGAAAACCAAATGGGAAGCCTATTTTGAGCTATTGCTATTCAAGCTTTTGGCCAGGGCCACCTTTCCGCTTGGAGGGTTTGCAATGCAGGGACCACACACACGCACACGCAGATTTGCTCATAATTTATGCTAATTTCCCCCCATAAATCCACAATGCACCCCATCACCAGTCTGACGGATTACGAAAAGAATCGCATCGCGGGGGACACCGAGCTATTTTCCCCCAGAAACCAGGAGCGTCCTCGGTGCTGTATAAACACTGTTTAACAATCTGAAAACCTCGGTTAAAGGGAGGGAACTATTTCAGATAGACATTGGCTAACTATAATAAATATACATCGCTATATAAATGTATATATACACAAATTGGAAAAAGTCCATTTGTTTAGTGTCAAGTCTAAAACTTTCGTCGCGCCGTTTCATGACTTTTTTCCCCCTCCGCAGTGCCTTTTAACACCTGTCATTTCCCATTAATGCTCAGCTGAAAGGGGTTTTGTCCAGAAGGAAGTGGCCCATTCGAGGCATCTCAAACACCGCGGATAATGACAACACACTGCCAAGTGCCAAACACCTTCTGACGTCCATTCGTCCATTTAAAATATACAGCGCGGATTATGTGGATTCACTTATATATATTATGCCGCCTTTGTTACTTCCAAACAAAATACGTGATTGCGAGCTATTAGCATGCAAGAACGTCCCTGGCTATTAAACATTTGGACGCATGATTCTTAGCTGTATATTTCGCTCTCGAAATAGCTCATCTTTGCCACTTGTATTTGTTCACTGGCGCGCGCGCATTCACTGCTTTGCGATTTAACCCGCAACACTCGCATTAACCAGCCAGTGAGGGTCTCTCTCCCTCTCTCTCTCTCTCTCCCTCTCTCTCCCTCTCTCTCTCTCCCCTCACACACACATAAGACAGAGTGGCTTTTTGAGCTTCGGGGTTATGGGATGTTGGTAGACCTTTTGTCCCCCGGCGAATGGACACACTGAAAATACCACCATGACTCTGAATCTGAATGGCTTTTTTTTTTTTTTTTTTTTTTTTTTTTAGCTGCTCTCAAACTCCTGAGTTCAAGCAGCAGTAGATCAAGTCTGCACTATGATTTGGTCATTTGTAGAAACCAGAACAAAGGTTGGGATAAGCCAAATTGCATTGCACTTGTGAACCGTGCCTCAGCCTGAAGTATCCTTTATAGGGGGGTGGGGGGGGGGGCAAGAACAATTTTGTGTGAGCTTTCAAAAAAAAAAAAAGAAAAAAAAGAGGAGCGAAAACAAAGGGCACTTTCTGAAACATCTTAAAGTAGAGTAGTGAGGCGTGACATTCCCAGGGTGACGAGACACAAAAGCTGAGGTCATGGGGATGAAAAAGAGAATCAAACAGCCACTTTCACACGTCTGCCCTCCTCTGCTGCAGCCCCGAACACAATAGGAAACAAATGTTGTTAAAAGAGGATCGATGCCATTCAGCCTAAAGCAGCGCATGATAGCCAAACAATATTGTCACACTGACTCGAGTTGAGATATGCTGCCACCCAGACCTGCGGGGAGGGAAACAGGAAGAAACCAGCCTCTCAGGGAACGATTAAGAGAAATGTAAAGATCAGGGCTAATACAAAGGAAAATATTTATTCAAGGGCTGAGTCCAAGTTGGAAATATGAACTCGTAAAAAATAATACACCTCTGAGCTCTAAATCTGCAATTGTATGGATGGTATGATTTTTTTTTTTGTGGTGATATTTTTTATTTTTCAATCCTTACGCATCTGCGGAGCGGGATGTCTGCTGACTGCGGACAATATTTAAATAGGCCACTAATCAACCTATAAATAGACAAATCATAGCCGGACGTCGAGAAACTTGCGCCTTTAATACGAACATTCATAACCGAATAACGTGTTTAATTAAATCCATTTTCTATTTGGGTCATGCTTATCATCGCGAGCCGGACTGTACATTTAGAGGCATTTGTTACCTGGACTCTGCGTTAAAACGCACGTGCAGTGAAGGCAGGTGTAGTTTGTTGTCTGCTGCAAAATGTGACTCTCCCACCCAACCAATAGGCCTGTGCTGCTAATTAAGTCCGTGGTGATTTCAGCCCCAAGAGATGTTTTACGGTGCAATTAAGGACGCGCCGATGATAGGTTATGAATATTCAGCAGAATGACAATTAATTAGCAGACAGAGGGCTCTCACAATAACCTCCTCAATAGACAACTTAGCCTATAACGGAATATGCACACTATTTAAAGGCCATTTTCACATGTTGCCCACTTGAATATTCATTTTTGACCAGGAAAAAAAAAACAGAAGAAAAGCATGATCTCAATGCTCGATATGATGATAAGGTGAATGTATTTTTTTTGTTTGTTTATTTTATCAAACGGCGGGATTACAGTCCTCGCAGCAGCCCGCCCCATTAGTTGGTTATGGGTGATCAGAGGGGGGTACCTGGAAGAAGACCTCAGGGCATTTACAACATATGCTCGGATTATGCTTAATGGTCTAATTACATAAATTAGGCATTCATTATACGGCACATCATCTGTAACAGATATCTCAATTGCACAGAGGCGGGAACATCTAATTCAATAAGTCTGTGAATTGTTTCATCGAATTAAACACTGAAAACGAATGAGGGAAGAAAATGAAAAAATGTTGATCACTATGATCACAATTTATGCTTTTTATTTTAACTGTTTTATTTTCTGCTCTTTTTTTTTCTCAGGCAGCAGTTTCACTTTGTGACCATAAGATGGGGACAGGCTCTTGAGTTTGTATTCCTTGATTATTCTTTGGTAATGATTTATATATTTATATTATCTTATAACATTTGTTAATTTTGTAAAGCGCTCTTATGCAAATTTGTGATTTGGGGCTGTACAAAATAAAATTAATTGAATTGAGTTACAAACTGCACAAATATGCCCACTTAGCTGTTTTTCTCTCTTCTTATCTATCTATAATTTTCAAGAAATAATTAGTTATTTCTAACAGTTAATATGACATTCAGCTATTCACTGTACTGCTATGAATTTGTATCTGCAGGCACATGTGAAACGTGTGTGTGTGTCTGCGTTTGCGTGTAGGAGGGAGTCTCGGTTCATTGACTCCATATGGTGAGAAACAGCAGGACTGATGAGTGTACTACCTGAGGTCCGTGTTTGTGCCGTCGACTGTAACCAAAACAGCAACCCCCTGACCCGCTGCATTATTCATAAAAGACGAGAAGTCTCATTTCATCGTTTAGGTTTGGTGACAGATGACTCCGTAACAACAAATCATCCTGTTATGATACTTGGGCAAGAAGAAAGAAGGGGAGTAAGACAGAAACAGAAAATGTAAATGGGGAAAAAGATGAGAAGAGAAAACAGAATAACAATATGACAGAGTCCACTTCAATATTGAGAACAAGACGAAGCTCTCACTACTATATCAGACATCACTGTATAATGAACTAGTTTCGTATGAACAATAATTCAGAGTTACTGTATATATTGTTGAAAATGAGAGGATAATGCAATATTAAGCAATATGAGATCATAATATATTAACAACAAACTCAACAAAGAATGAAATTTTACTGTGAAGCAGAAAGATAAAAGATAATAATGCAAAAAAGGTATAAATTAACATGGTTCAATCAGATACAAAGAGTTACCTTTCAGAGGATAAAAGATGAGGTGGGAGGCTTTGAGGTGGATGAGCATATCTGTGCAGTAAGGATCACAGGACAAAGTAATATTATTGGAGGGTTAGAGGGAGAGTTTCAAAGTGTTTTGCCATTAAATGCTGATGTACAACTGCACCAAATGACAGGTGACATGTTTGGTATGAAATGGAAAAATATATTGTGTGACTTTAACTGAATTTACGACCCTTAGAATAAGGTATAGGTCTCTCCACAAACCTATCACCTCTCCTTTTTTGATCATTTTTTTTTCATTTTGGAGAAATGATGGAAAACTGATATAAGCTTTGACTGCTGAAGTTTGAAATGTTGGGGATAGTGAGGGATGAAAAGCTTTGAACTCTGGGATCAATTCAGAGGAAGTTGATATTGTTGTTTGTGCCACCAACAAGTCTCTCCTTTGGGGGTTAGTGTGTTACACATTTAACTGAGGCAAATCCTTTTTTTATTGTGA